TGTGTTGAGAAATCTGCAGTGATTCTGATGGGCTTTCCTTTATAGGTGATCTGTTTCTTTTCTCTAACAGCTCTTAGTATTCTATTCTTTTGCTGAATTTCTGTGATTTTGATTACTGTGTGTCTGGTTATGGCTAATTGGAGTTCTATATGCCATATTTACTGTATGTCAGATTCTTCTCCCATGCTTGGGAAATTTTCTGCTACTACTTCTGCAAATAGTCATTTTATGCCATCCATGTTTACTCCTGCTCTTTCGTTGATACCTATCAGTTTTATACTGTTCTTCTTTACATTATCTTGTAGCTGGGAAACTGTTATATCCTGATTCCTTGTTATTTTTAAGAGCTCTTTCCTTTTGCAATTGCTAGCTGTAATGCTATCTTCAAGTATGGGGTTAATGATATCCCTTAGTTATTGCAGGCTGATCAGGTCCTCAATCTCCTGAATGAGTGTATGGCAAAGGCTACATAAAAAGAGGCAAATGGAATGATTTCAGGGCTCCAGGAGGATCAAAGCCTTCTCACATAATTTTTAATTCTCTCAGGGTTAAGACCAAGACCTTCTCTGGGCCACTCCTATTTATTTGGTTATCAGAAGAAGGGAGGGGAGTACTCAAGAAGGGCAGAACCACTCAAGGACTTCTCTAAAAAAAGTATTAAGTTAATCCACTGAAGAATGAGATGCCTGAGGCTATAGTCTTTATCCAGTTGAGATCTGATCTAGGTGTCCTTGGCTGTGATTTTGTCTTATCCTTTGAGGCTTTCTCCCTTCATCCACCACTACAGGTTTTAGTAGGGATTACTGACTCACAGAGGTTCACTTACTATGAGTCTGCCATTTCCAGACAAGGAGCTTAGGTCTTGGACAGATTCACAAGTGAACATGAAAAGCCAATTGATTAATTTAAATCCTGCTCAGGTCTGCTTCATAGTGGTCTTAAAGTCTATCTTCATTCAAGATCTTAAAGTCTATCTTCACTTTCATTCAAGAGGTTTTGCCAGCTTTCAATGGAATTTTAATTTCCTGGATATCTGTTTGACTCTGTTTCATGCATTCTGATTCTTTCCTGTATTGTTCATTCAATGTTTCCATCATTTTTCTATGCTCCTCTATTTTTTTATCTATGTCTTCTTTAGATGTGCTAAGCAATTATTTCATTATTGTTGTCATTTCTTTTTTTACCTGAGAGATTATTTCTGATCTGATTTCTACTATGGCCTGATGGAGTTTCTTCTTTGCTTCAGTTGTCATCATTTCAGAAATTTCAGTTGTGTTACTTCCAAGTTGTTCTCTGTCAATGTCTCCTGGACTTGTTCTGGGTAGGCTGCAGGTCTAAGATTGCATTTTGCTCCTTCATTTTGACATTTTTGAAGCTCCTGAAGTTCACCAGGGCTCAGTATCACTCCCACAATGGTTGTGGGGGCAGGGAACATCTCACCAAGGCTCCCAAAGTTCCCCAGCATCACTCCCTTGATGGTGGTTTGGCAGGAGGTGGCTCACCAAGGCTCCCAAAGCTGTCTGGGGCTCAGGGTCACTCCTGTACCAGTGGAGTTGTGGGCACTGTTAGGAGCCATTCTTGCACTTGATATAACTATCCATTAGTCATTCTTTCTCATATGGCTCTCTAAGAGGAAGCACAATAAACTTTGTTTCTAAAGACATTCTTTTTGATGGTAATGTAGACTATTTGTAAACATAATGAACAAAAGGTAGAAAAAGCTACTAGCACTCCAACCGGCAGACAAATTGAGCTACTGTGGTCTGCAGAACAAATATGAAGTTTTCTTCTTTTCAGGAGACTTCTTTGCTTTGAAGAAAATCAAATTTCTTAAGAAATGCCTCTATTTTTTTCTGAGCTAAGTATTGAACCCACAGCCTTGGGCAAGCTAGGCATATATTCTACCACTCTGCTCTGAGCAACATATCCCCACCACCACCAGAAGTTCTTAATGTCATGGCTTTCCTTCAACAACACGTGGCACTGGTGAAGGAGGAGGTCATAATTTCCACAGTGATTTCTGAGGACAGAGTCAAAAATCATCATGAATCAGGGGGAAACTGGAGAACCTGGCTCTCATGAATATCAGTAGGAGCTCAGAATTGGATTATCTTTTAAAGGAACAATGAAACAAGATTCAATGAGGTGAAGTTTATATATCATAAACTCATTTGTTTTCATTGTACAAATCAATGATTTTTAGTAAATTACACAGCCATATAACCATCATCACCATCTGGATTATTTTTTGCAATTCCTCAGAAACTACCATTCCATCACAACTGCAATAAAGTTGCAAGTTCCAACTTTGTTTCTTATTCATGTTATTAGCATTTGTGGGCCTTAGGTTTTTTGGTTTTTCCTGCAGTGCCCAGAATTGAACCAGGGCTTTTGCATAGAACTGTGTTATGTCTGATACATTGTGTCAACTTGAGGAGTCTAGAGGTTTGGCTAAGTGACTGGGCAGTTCTGCATCCTGAGCCCGTGCAAGAGGAGGGTGCAGAGATGGTGTGGGTGTGGGCAGATAGCCCGCACACAATATAAGGAGGGAAAAGAGGCTTGCTCCCTGCCCCTTTTGCTCTTGCTGCTTTTGCTGTGTTGTGCAATCTTGAAGTATTGCCCTTGTGCCATGTGCCACTCTGCCTTGGAGCCAGCCAAGTATGGACTGAAACCTCCACAAACTGTGAGCTAAATAAACCTTTCCTTCCTCAATTTTGGGCACTGGGTATTTTGTAAGAGCAATGAGAGAAAAGTAACCAAGACAAGCTGCATCCACATTAAAAAAAAATTTTTTTTTTTAATTTTGAGACGTGGTCTTCCAAATCACTAAATGGCCCAAGCCACACTAGAATTTATGATCCTCTTGCCTCAGCCTCCCAGAGTGCTGAGATTTTTACAGGCATGTGCTACCATGCCCAACTTATTATTGCCTTTTTTACGGCACCAAAGTGATTCTTTAAGCCATAACTGGGAAAGATAACTTCTCAAGTACACTCAATGCTCTATCCTTTCCTTCATGACTACAGCTATAGTTCATAGGGCCTTTATTAGGATTCAGGGATTTAAATCAACATCCCAAAAGCTGGATGTCAGTGATTATTTCAGTGATTGAGCAAATTCAGAGAGTGGTTTTCAACATTATCAGCAATACTGCCTTTAAATCCTGGTGAGAGGGGCCCCTGTTTTGGGGCTCTGCAGTGTGAATGCACCTTGTAGTGACCGCACCCTGCAGGTATGAGAGAGAGGCTGACGGGTTCTTACACCTTCTCCAAACCATGCCGTGATGCCTAAGGACTTCACTTCCTGCCCATATGACTTCAAGTTTTTTGCCATACCTGAGCAGCTCTCTTCCTTGGGACTGTCTTTCCTTTAGGGTTATGAAAGGGTAACAGCTGCCAGGAGGGTTGGGTGACTATAAGCTTGGATTTGTTGTCTGGGTGTCCATACACATGCACTAAGCTCTCATGGTGTGAGCTATAGCTTGGAATGAAAGGAGAAGAGTTTTGGGCTTGGGCTGGACCTCCCTGTAATTGCCATATCCAGCAAAGAATCCTGAGAAGTCTAAAAATTTGAAATTGGAGCCTGAACTTCTTTAAGGTGGTAGATTTGTCAAGGTAGAAGGATAAGACATTTCCTTTTTAATAATTTGCTAGGCTGATTTTTAAAATTTCAGTATTTAGCAGGACATGGAGGTGCATACTGGCAATCCCAGCACTTGGGAGGCTGAAGTAGGAGGAACACCATGAGTTCAAGGCCAACCTGGGCTACACAGTGAGACTTTGTCCCAAAAAAATTCAATATTTAGACATATAGTATGTGGTTCTCCCTTATGTGATTTCATTTACATAAAATATGCAGAATAGACAACTCCACAGACAGAAAGGAGAGTAGTGGTTGCCAGAGGCTAAGGAGAGGGAAGAATTATGAGCACCTGCAGATGGGTGTGAAGTTCCTTCCTGGAGGTGATGAAAATGTTCTATAACATTCATTAGTGGTAATTAGTCATGGCTCCTCTTCACCGCAGGATGTTATAACGAATTGTGTTTTAAATATCCCAAAAGTAAGGATTTTTCTAAAATCTGGAATCAAAAATATTATAACCACAGTACTGGTAAATGTGTGTATCTCTGAAGTCTCTGTCTGTGTATCAACATTGTGTATACAAAAAGGTATGCATCAATGAATTAAGATAACCATCTTTCATGCCCCAATAGATTGCGGGACAAGAGGAAGGACTGAGGCTGGAGCGGGAGGTATACACAAAGGAATCTAAGAAATCATACTTGCCTTCCATGGACTAATGGTATGCTTGAGTCTCCACAGGGCTAGTTCTGTAAAGTACCTACAATAATTCATGCATGTAAAGCAATTCAACTATGCCACTTCACCCCAATTGTTAGTTACTAGGAAGATGTTAGTTCTTTAGTCTGTTAGTTCCGAGGGATTTAGTGGATGTTCTCTAAGGTCCCGCCTAGAGCCAACATTCCATGTATTCAGTCATTTTTAAAGACTACTTTTGCATCAGGACTAAGACATAAATTAATCCATCTAAACACTACATATTTACTACACTTCCTTATTGTGTGTAGCTGTACCTGAGCAGGTGAGAAACTATTTGCTACCACTTCCGCCTCTACTTGTCAACTCCCTCGGTTCAGCAGAAATTGTTTTCCACGCCTCCCAGACCAGCCAGACAAAGAGATCAGGCGTTAGACACACCCGGGGTTGCTATGGAGCCCCACAGTGTCCACGACGGAAGTGGTCCTTGAAAATCACTTTCCCAGGAAACTTGTTCTTGAAAAACAATGCCCTTCCAGTTCATCATTTCCTAAAGTAAACTCATAGAGAGAAACACAACCAAACTTTCGCTCTTAGCACAATGAACAGTGATCTCCCAAGAGAGAAGCGGGTGTTCCAGAGGCAGAAGTGTTTCGGAACCAAGAAGCGCAGGGCACAGCTTCTCGAGCGAGCCCTTCTCCTGGACGGACCAGCCGCCCAGCCGGGTTGCCGTGGAAACAGAGCCCGCCGTGCGGACTTAGCGACGCGCCCAGGCGCGGCCTTTGCTGCCTGCGGAGAGGGCTCTGGGGGCCAACGTCAAGATGGTTAGTGGCTCTAGTAGAAAGGGAGTACTTTAAGTAGGGACTGGCGGTTAGAGATTCCCAGCCTACTTTGGGGGTAAAGTCTAGGTTTGTCAGCAGAGGGTCATCTTCCTCTTCTCCCAGTGTTCCCACGGGGACGGGGAGGGATGCAAAGATAAACACTTTGATGCTTTCGTCCCTCCTGCCCGTGGGGTGGAGAGCAGCGCAAGCGGCGACAGAAGCTGCAGAAAAGCATCTCCTATAGATACAGAAGTTGGAAGTAGCTATTTTGGTTCAGCTCAAGTACTGATGCCCTTTTAGTACAATACCTTTTACAAAACAGAGTTTAAATAGACTTGCCTGGGGCTGTTAAGGGTTTGGCTTGTACATCGTGGGGCTGTCGCTCTCATTTTAAAGCTGTCCATCCGAACTGGACCATACAGTTTTCTTTGTGGTTTCTTTTACAGATGCTTTCAAGGGCCAAGCCTGCTGTAGGTGGGGAACCACCACAGACTAACAAAAGGAAGAAGAAAGGCAGAAAGATTCCCAAACTAGAGGAGCTACTTTCACAGAGAGATTTCACTGGAGCTATTACCCTATTGGAGGTAATGTCTAAAAAGGTTGCTTGTTAGTCTGGGGCACACGAGACCGCAGATGAATGCTTGGGTGAATGCTGGTTAGTATGTTGTTGGAACTGGTGGGTGCGTTCTGGGGCATCTAGAAGCCCGTAGTAAATCTAGTTAGTTGCAGATTCTAGATCCAAGGTAACTGTACACCTGATTAAATCTGAATTTAAAACAAAACGTATCAACAAGAAAATAAAGGTAAATGATGTATCTTTTTTGAGGTGAAGCCCACTTTTTTGGTGGAAGGGAGGGCCACATTTAATTATATCTAGCTAGTTTGGTGGGTCTAACCTAAATATGTGGAGTGACATTTAACATGGTGTCAGTTCACACATTGCTTATTCTACCTCCTGGCCAATTTATGATGAATTTTTATGTTATAAAATTTTGGACAAATTTAAGTCATTCATTCTATTAAAATATTACATCACAAAAAAGTAGTTCTATATGGTATCAGTTCTCCATCCTCCTCCACTCCAGTGCTTTGTGCAGCCCCACCTGAACTGCACCCCAAGTCCCAGTAGTTCTCACCTTTTGAGAAATATTGGAAGTATCGAGGGCAGTTACTCAGATATATGTATCTGTGGGCTTCTGCCTGAGCAATTCTGATTCTTTTGGTCTGTGGTGGTGCTCAAGAATCTGCATTTTAGGTAGTCTAAGTCAGTGATGGCGAACCTTTTAGAGCCTTCAGCAATGGTTTGCCACCATTGGTCTAAGTGAGCCTGATGTAGCTGCTTCAAGGAGACTGTACTTTGAGAAACTGCTCTGTGGGAAGCACATGTTAAGGGGTGTCTGCAAGGGAGCCCCAAAGGTGGAAGAGTTTGGACAGCATGGCCCGATTGTGTTGTGCTGCCGATATTTCTCCCAAACACCACATTCTAGCAATATTACTGTGAGGCTTATCAGTGATAAGTTATCAGTGATAAGTTAGCTGTACATAAATTTCTTGCCGTATGTGTCTTACCCATTCATATTGGGTACATTCTTTTCTATCTGTACAGCAGGGGTGATCATTTGGAAGAACGGAGTGCTATATATATATTTTTTGTCTACCTACTTTTTCTCTCTTCTTTGAAGCAATGACCACATTTTTCTTATCGTATAATCGCAGATAGCCCAGAGTTGGCAGGGAGTCTCAGCTCTATGCCTACAATCTTAGGCAGCTCATTGGAATTCTGTGCTACCTGGGAAGGGGAACTGCTGTGCTTCGGGGTGAAGATGAACTCTCCTGTGGCTCCAGGAAATTCATGGGGTAAAATCAGGGAGACCTCAAGAATTTCCTCAGACTCCAGGCATTATCCTCAAATTCACAGTAGTTGTCAAGAAGAGTACGTTCTGTCCTAGACAAAAAATGTGTTAGAGGAGCTTTATCACCTCTAAGAGTGAAAAAAATAGAAAGAACAATGGGATGAGGGAAGAGAAAAAAGAAAGAAGGAAGGAAGGGAAAATATATATATATATACACAAGATAGCTAAGATAATTGTGCTACTAATTTCTATTGGCTTATTGAAAGGAACAATTAATGCTTAATTTTTTTGTCAGTTTTGTATGCCTGTATCTGATAATCTGAACAAATACTTTGAAGATAACAACATGCAATATAACAACCATTGTTAATTTCCAATCATCTTGTTTTGAAATTCTGTATCATTTTCAATGTTTTTTTAAAGTTTTTTATTATCTTTAAAATTAAAAAAAAAAAAAATTGGGCCAGGGATATAGCTCAGTGGCACAAGCCAACTGCCTGGCAAGCGCAAGGTCCTGAGTTCAATTCTGGTACCAAAAAAAAATAAAAATTAAAATAAAATAAAATAGTTAAAAATGAAGAGTGGAAAAAAAAAAGTCACCTTACCATGGTAACTCAGAATTCTCCTTCAAAGTTTTGGTCTTTTTCTCTAAAACAAGACTTTTCTTTTGTTAGCTGATAAATTCATAAATATTTGTTCATGAAGGACATAAAGGAGGCCAATCTTCTCTTAACTCTTGCAGGCCTGGTAAGCCAGCCTGCTCAAGGATGAAAGAATGATTTCATGGTTTGTCTTCAGTGAAGGGTTATAGCCTATTAATAAGTATGTGTGCATGCTCATGGGACAGGACGGATGTGGGGTCGAATCAGTAAGCATGAACATGGGCTTTTTTAAAATTTTTGTCTTTTTGAGACAGGGTCTCGCTATGCAGCTCAGGCTGGCCTTGAGCTCACTCTGTAGCCCAGGCTGGCCTCGAACTCGCAAGGATCCTCCTGCCTCAGCCTCCCTAGTGCTGGGGTTACAGCTGTGCGCCACCACGCCCGGCTGAAGCATGGGCTTTGGAAGCAGCCATTCTTTTAATTGCCTGTCCCCAGACATACTGGCTGTGTAGCCTTCAGTTCATTGCTCAGTGTCTCTAACTTTCAGTGATTTGGCTTTAAAATTTCACCTAATTTTTGTGCTAAAAGGATTGTTAGATAATGCCAGTGCTTCCTGGAGTAAAGTGTCAGTAAATGAAAAAACAAATGTGAAATATTTGAACATGTAAATTTCTGTTACAGAAGAGCTTTCTGAGACAGTTGGAAGATACATATCTCTCTACATGGGCTTAATTAGAAAACTGTGTGTTGTCCTGTTACTTAGCTTCAGTAACTTATCATAGTATTTTTTTGAAAATAGAGGGCTTACTGTTGAAAGATTTTCACGATCTTTTTCATGAATTTTTAACCTGAAGTTCAAGCGACATGTGGGGGAACAAGAAGAGGATACGAATTTGTGGATTGGATACTGTGCTTTTCACCTGGGTGACTACAAGAGAGCTCTGGAGGTTGGTTTTTTTAAAAAAAAAAATCTAACAGGAGTGTGTTTAAACTGTTATTAAACTTTGTATTGTAATGATACTCATGGTAAAATTGAAACAGTGCAGAAGCAATCCCCCTATCTTCATTCCCCAGTCCCCTATTTCTTTGTTAAGAAATAACAGGCACCCACTTCTCTTTTTTAATGTATTGGTTCAGAAATTTTCCGTATGTACCTCTATACCTATACCTAAACCTATATTTATATCTATATGGTACATAAGTATCTTGTTTGCTTTTTACTTTTACATGAACACTGAATTGTATAGCACAGCGGCATGGGATTAGTATGGGACTGAACCCAGGGCTCTCTGTCTCCTAGGCAAATGCTCTACCACTTAGCTCCACCCCAGCCTGCATTAAGAAATCTTCAGGAGAGGAAAGATAAGTTATTTTGATTTAAAAAAAAAAAAAAAAAACTTTCATGAGTTTCCTCGAAAGAATTTTACTTGATTATTTTCAGATTTAGGAAAGGTTATATTATCTTTATATAATCCTTATTTTTGTAACTGTAGGTGCTTCGGGAATTACGTTTTCTTGTTCATTGTAAACCTTACCCATCTGCAATGATTTATTTATAGGATTATGGATCTAAGTAAAATGATAGGTGCCTTATATCAAGCAATTTTTAATTTATAAATGAAATTTCTTTTGGTTTTTTTTTTTTTTTTTTTTTTTCCGGTACCGGAAATCGAACTCACTACCTTGCGCTTGCCGGGCAGGCGCTGTGCCGCTGAGCTAAATCCCCAGCCCCTAAATGAAATTTCTTAAATACTTTCCACATATTCTTACTCTCAAGATATGTGTAATCTAAGGAGGTTGAAGAACATGTGTAATAAAAACAGTATTCAAGGCCATGTAATGAAAAGGTGGGATGAGGAGCAAAAAGAGCAAAAATGTTGAAGGAAAGAGGAATATGTGAAAAGGGTGGAATAAGGGCTGGGAGTATTTGTGAAATGTACATGAGAAAGGGAAAAGTAGCCCAGAGGGAATAAGAAAAACAAATGGGCTTCTGAGAACTATGGATAGAAAGCGTGTGCTTGGCAGGAAAAAAAACCCACCTTTTTAAATGTAAATCGCATCGCCAAAACCAATAAACAGTTACAGTGCAAGGAAATTGATACTGTATTAAAGTTATCAGGGCCAGGGATATAGCTCAGCGGCACAGCACCTGCCTGGCAAGCGCAAGGTCATGAGTTCGATTCCTGGTACCATAAATAAATAAATAAATAAATATTGTCAGAGTTTAAGTAAGTAATGTACTTCTTATCTTGCATATGTCTTTTTAAATTAGCAAAAATAAAATATTTCAGTTGTTTTTCATTTCTGTAGTTCCTTGGTCCCTATCAGTGATTAATGTGAGGGAAAAGGTACGTGAGGTTTTACGGACAACACTGCTCATAGTTAAGAGTGAGCTTTAGCTTCCGTATTTAACTTTTTCAGGTACAAAATGATTGAGGAATATGTAGGATTTCCTAAATGTGAAGTTGCCCTCTCTCAATAAGAAATCGTCTTACATTATAAAAGAATTAATGCTTGCTTTGGCAGCACATGTGCTAAAATTATAGAGCTACCTTACTGCTAAAATGAGATCACTGTTTAATATCTGTTTCAGGAATATGAAAATGCAACAAAAGAGGAAAGTTGCAATCCTGAAGTCTGGGTGAACCTAGCCTGCACCTACTTTTTTCTTGGGATGTATAAACAAGCGGAAGCAGCAGGATTTAAAGGTAAGATGGGCTCTTTGTTCTTGTTATTGTCATAGTTTTCTTTTCAGCACTGGGGACTGAACGCAGGACCTTCACGCTAAGTTACATCCCAAGCTCTTTTTACAAATTTATTTTTAAGTTTTGCAGTTCTTGCTAAGTCACTAAGTTGCCCGGCATGGGCTTGAACTTGGGGTTCCCCTATCCCAGCCTCCCAAAGTGCTGGAACTACAGATGTGCACCACCGTGCCTGGCTAAAATGTGTTCTTTTTATATCTAATAATCTTCACTTACTACAGTAAGAGTCATTTTGGAGATTTAAAAATTTTTAAACTTTTTGTTGTTGATGAGGAAGAAACCAACTGGCCTTAAAAAGCTAAGAAAAAAACAGGGATTTTAAAAGTAGCTTTAAGCTTTAAAAACTACTGGACTTCATTCACTTTATGTTTAAAGAGAGTGTTAATCTCTCACTGTCCGTTCAGTGCCCTGCTGCCCAAGAAAGTACAGCCTAAAAGCAGAAGGATGAGAAAAAAGCAAAGGGCAGGCGTCCCCCTTGCTCCATCACAGGAGGACATACCTGCTGTTGGGAGTTAGGCGAAGCTGTTCAAGCTCTGATGGCTGTAGATGTGCAGCTGCTTGTCCAGTTTCTGAGTGGGAAACCCAGTAATTTCAGTGAGAAGGGAAGAATCCAGATGCCTTCTCTCCTGCTTGCTTACTTATTATAACAGTCAGTTCAAGAGAATTATATTCAAGTCTACAAATAAGAGTAAGGGAAAAGGGAAACATGGGAAAAAAGGTTAAGGATAATTAGAATATGAATCAAATTAAATTCAAGAAACTACAGAGAAAATGGCAAGGGAAAGAATGTTTGTGAGGAAATTTATTAGGGAAGAATGCATTCCCTAATAATGTAATATATGTACTGTACCTCTTCCTGGAAAAGGCAGAGCTTGAAGCCTTTCTTGATTTGTACCTAAACTGTTTCATATGTACTAATATAGCTTTTCCTAATTTAGTCATAAGTCTTTTAAGGTTTTTTACTTTGTTTCTAGTCTCTATCTGTATCTGGAGACCGGGATATAGCTCAGTGGCACAAGCACCTGCCTGGCAAGCGCAAGGTCCTGAGGTTGATTCCTGGTACAAAACAAACAAACAAACAAAAAACATAAAGATTATTGCATATCTGTATCTGGAAAAGTATTAGACACATAAAAAATGATCAGGTAGCTATCTCCATTCCCATATGTATACTTTTTCTTTTTCATGCATTGAAGTAGGATTTTTTTTCTGTGAAACATACACAGTATAAAACTGGGCATTCAGTAGCAGAGAAATTTCCAAGAGTGCAACAGAAATTTGGAACTTGAGAGATGTTAATGTTTTTGCTTGGCTGCCTGTGTAAGTGTAGGACACTTATGCTGGAAGATCTCTGGAATAAAGCCTGGGCTAGTGTTTAGGAAAATACAGCAGCTTAATTGTGGAAAAGGAGACTTTAGTGGGGTTGAGAGTGCTGGGGTGAACAGCTGAAAGAGAGCGGATTCGTGTGCACACTGGGATGACCGTCAGTGTCCGCTGTTGTGTTTGCTTCAGTATAGAGCAGCTCTGCCGTCTGCTGTTGCGACTCCCTGTGTGGAAGGCTGTGTCAGGGCAGAATGGAATTGGGTGGAACAGCGGAGGGGAGGAGCAGAGTCTTAGCACCTTCTGGTTCTTCTGTACCTTCTGGTTCTTGATGTTACTACAGGTGGAGGCCAGACTCAAACAGTATTTATGATAGCAGACACAGACAAGGAGCAGGTAGGTAAGGATTTGGGGACATTCATATGCGTTCCATTCATGCTCGCTTCAGTAGCACATATACATATGAGTTTGATTTTATTCTTTCAAGGAACTAAATACTCTGGACTATTAAGTTCTTTAATAAGCAGCTTGTATCTTTTTTTCAGCTCCGAAAAGCCGACTCCAAAATCGCCTGCTCTTCCATTTGGCTCATAAGGTATTTATGTTTTCATTTCATGTCTTTTGTTGTAAAAAATATTTTTCTCTTCTTATTACCAACAACAATGAAAGGTAATTAACTAGAAATTCCTGTTAATGGTCCTTCCAGAGCAAGTGGAACATGGGCATGAATTTTATAATTTAGGATTTTCTCACATCAGTGTTCTTTACCCTCTTCATTTGTTCAGAGATGTTGGGTTTAGTTCTTAGTTAAGTAGCGATCATTTAAGGTTAGTGTGTGTCAACTTTCCTGTTATCTCTTGGGAAACAGACTCAAAAACATCTTGTTCTGCATTGTGGAAGTAAATACAGTTTCCAGGTAATTGTGGTCATCATAAAATTATTTTTAAATAACATTTTTTTCAAATTATAAGGAGTAATACACATTTATTCTGTCAAACAAAGGCACTATAAGTAAGCAAAAGAAGAAAAAGCAGGAAATTGTATGTACCATATTGGAAAAATAACCCCCTTTAATTTGTTGGTGTATCTCCTGCAGGGTACTTTTTTATGCATATTTGTCTATTTGTTTCTCTGTTGTGCAGAAAGAGACTCATGCTGAGTGTTTTTGTACTCTGCGTTTTTTTCATGTGTCTTTATACTATATGCACATTCCTGAGTCATTAAAAAAGTTTCACACCATGATTTTTAGATTGCTTAATAGTATTCTGTTCTAAAAATCGCTTGTACCATAATTTATTTAACATGTACTAGTTAAATCATTTCTAATTTTTAATTACAAAAATGTCATTCTAAACACTCTAGAAATGGACTTACAGAGTTATTACATATGAATAACTTTAAACTTTTTAATTAATTTGGTTATTTGGTTTTGTTTTGTTTTTTGGTACCAGGAATCAAACTCAGGACCTTGCACTTGCCAGGCAAGAGCTGTGCCACTGAGCTATATCCCTGGGCCCTAAACCTTTTGGTTCATATTTCTAGTTTGTTTCACAGCAAGTTTATCAAATCAACTCCAGGCAGTATTTGAAAATAATTATTTTTGGTACCTTTAAATTTTTCACACCATAACTGTATCTTTGACTTTATAATTCTTTCAATTTTTACTTTACATATTTTTCAGGCTATGTCATGAAGCACATACTAATTTAGAATTTTTATTTTTTATTTTTATTTTTTTATTTATTGTTTTGTTTTGTTTTGTTTTTCTCCGGTACCGGGAACCGAACTCACGACCTTGCGCTTGCCAGGCAGGCACTTTTTGCCGCTGAGCTAAATCCCCAGCCCCTAATTTAGAATTTTTAGGTCTTCCTAGTAGATCAATGTCTGAATTATCATGAAATTATCTTTCTTTATTTCCAAAAAAATTCCTGTTTGTCTTATCTGTACTATACCAGCTCTTCTTTTGGTTAGTATTTGTGTTCTTTTTATACTTTTGTTTCTCCTTTTCTGTGTCTTTGCATTGAAAGTGTATTCCTTAACAATCATATAGACATGAATTTTCTGGGGTTTTTAGTCCTGTTCAAATCTTTATTTTTAAAAACTCTAGTATTTAATTCATTTGCTTAATGTATTTACCATATGGTCGGCTCAGTAACTGCCAGCTTACTATTTATTTTCTACTTGCCCCAGCTGATTCACATTCTCTATTCTCTCCTGTCTTGTTTTCTTTTTGGATTGATTTTTTTTTTGTACCAGAAATGGAACTCAGAACCTTGTACTTGCCAGCCAGGTGCTTGTGCCACCGAGCTATATCCCCGGCCCCTGGATTGATTTTTTGAATTCCATATTTCCCTCCCCTATTTTGCAAGTTTTACAAACTATTAATATGATTCTAGCAGTTGCTGTAGTATATATCTTTTACACATTAAATCTTAGTATTTGTGCTTTTGCCAGTTTCTGAACAAATAAAGGCCATAGATAATTTTAACTCATTTGTTCCCTCTCACATTTTGTATAAATCTGAAATATATTTCTAACCTCACCAGATACTATTAATGTTTTTTTGCAGTCAGATTTAACTTATACTTAATTGTATTTATCCTCTCCATTGCTTTTTATTTCTTTCTGAGTGTTTTTGGACCCATCTAGAATCATTTCGATTTTCTTTCTCTCCCTCTCCCTCTTTCCCTCTTTCCTCCTTCCTTCAAGGGTCTCGTGCATGCTCAGCAACCGCTCTATCACAGGGCTAGAGTCCTAGCCTTCTGTAACTTTTATTTTGAGACAGGACCTTGCCAGGTTTCCTGAGTTGGCCTCAAACTTGTGATCCTCTTACCTTGTCCTCCAGAGTAGCAGAGATTGCAGGTGTTACCACATCTGGTTTGGAATCCTTCTCCTTCTATTTGAAGAACTTCTTACATTATTTCCCTTAATGTGATGAATTCTCTCAGTTTTTGTATAAATATGTTTTAATTTCACCATCTTTTTAAAATATTTTTTTCTGTGTATAGCATTCTAGGTAGCTGGTCATTTTCCTTTAGCATTTGGAAGGTGATACTTTATTGCCTCCTAGGTCCCACTGTCTCTACTGAGAAGTCAGCTGTCAGTCTGATTATTGCACCATTGAAGATGGTATTTTTTTTCTGACTTTGTTGAAACTTTATGTATTGTTTGGGATTTTAGTACTTTTACTATAATGTTTCTAGATGTTCTTTTTATTTATACTACATCAGTTTCATAGTGCTTGCTTCAGGTCTTTCTCTGTCTCCTCCCCGCTCTTCCTCCTCCACTTCTTCATGTTCTGATTTGGAAAATTCCTTGGTAATTATCTCCCCAAATTTTTCTTCTCCATCATACTCTCTTTTCTTCCCTTCTAGGGCCACCAATCTGTAGACCTTTTCCTTGTGTCACATAGGTATACTTTTCCACATTTTCTGTATATTTCCTTCAAAAAATTCTTTAATTTTACTAATCTTTCTTCAGCCATGTCTAATAATCTATTAAGTCCATTACTTAGCTCTCAACTTCAGTTATTGTCTTTTACTTTGGTTGCTCAGGTAGCTTCCCCAGGATCCTGACTGAACCTTGGTGGGCTCTGACCTGTAATTTTTGCCATTCTGCTCTGAAGACTTCTTGAAACTACTTAGCTTCCACCGTCTCAGTCACAAGTTGAGAATTAACAGATACATTTGGAGAAAAGTGGTGCTGAGCATCAGCCTCATCAACCTTCCTTTTAGTTCTCTCTGGAATATTGCTACCTCCAGTCTTCACTGACGCAATAGCTCTCTGATGCCTTCACACAAATTTGTAACAGTTTCCGAGATTTTCTAGTTGTGTGTGAGAGGGTTGTGTGAAATGTTATCCCTACTGTTAAAGTGAAAGTCTTTGATTCAGTTTTAAGAAAGGTATTTTATTGTTTTTTCTTCTGATTATGAAAATAATATATATTACAATACCTTTAGAAAATAGTAAAAAAAAAATCACATACACACAAGTAAGATTTCTTATAAGTCTGCCACTTAAGAGATAACACTATAATGTTTTTTTTCTCTTTTCTTCCAATCCTTAAAACCTTTAAAATTTTTTTATCTTTTAAAAATGTATAGGGGCTGGAGATATAGCTCAGTGGCATAAGCGCTTGCCTGGTCATGAGTTTGATTCCCGGTACAAAAAAAATTTGTAAAAATGTATAAATCTTTGTACTAGTAAATATGGATCATGGTATACACGCTGTTTTATACCCAGGCTTTTCATTTAAAAGTATATCAAACATTTTTTCATGTCCCAAGATATTCTGTGCAAAAGATTATAAATACTAGTTCATGGGCTGAAAATGGACACAGTTATGTTTTTAAAATAGTGTTTGAATGTTTCTTACAGTTAAAAATAGAGTGTGTCAAAGATTTTGGTGTTTGTCTTTTCTTAAAAATTAGAAGATCTGGGCTGGGAATTTAGCTCAGCGGCACAGTGCCTGCCTGGTAAGCGTGAGATCATAAGTTCAATTCCCGGGAATCCCTCCCCACCCCGCCAAATTAGAAGATTTGAGAACTCTGAATTCATATTCACACATGAAACAAATTGATTAAAGCTAAGCAGGAGATACCATCTTTAGATGGGATAGGTTTTCTCCATTTCTGTCTTAGTCCTGTGCTGTGTATAACATTTTATTTTCAGACCTGGCTTCCCTGCCTTGCAATGTAATGTCTTCACAGTGTTTTATCTAATAAGTGTTCCATGATTCGCCTAATCATTTTCCTATTGTTGGTCATTTGGATTGGTTCCAATTTTTATGCTTAGAGAAATAGTAACATTTGAAACTTTTTTTTGCAGTACCGAGAGCCTTTTTTTGCAGAACTGAGGGCCTTCCCACTGAGATACATCTCCAGTCCCTTCTAAATTTTTTTTTCTAAGACAGGATATCACCAAGTCACCAAGTTGCCATGGCTGGTCTTGAACTTGCAGTCACCCTATTCTCAGCCTCCCAGGGTGCAAGGATTTCAGACATGTGCCACTAAGACCAACAGAACTTTGGTTTTCTTGATGTTTATTATTCGTTAGCCAGGGTACAGGCAGGTAAGAAAAGTTAGACTCCATAAAAATCTTTCCAAGCTATACCTTAGAATGCAGTACATCCATTTGCCTACCACATTAGTTGATAGCTAATATTAATTACTTGTCCTCTCAATCTTCTTTTTAGTTCACTCTGGAATGTTGCTCCCTCAGATGTTCACTGCCTCGGTAGCTTCACACTAATTCTTAGTAGGAAAAGCTAAGATCTCTATGCCATTGATGTTGATTTTCCTAATTCTACACTAATGTGAATCTTTACATTTCTTTTCTCGTCTCCCACTTTCAGTTTAATGATGAGAAAAAACTGATGAACTTTCATCAAAATCTTCAGGATGTCACAGAAGACCAGCTCAGTTTGGCCTCGATCCACTATATGCGGTCTCATTACCAAGAGGCAATTGATATATATAAGCGAATACTGCTGGATAACAGGTCTGTGGTTTTTTATGTCTACTTGAAATCTCTTTCATGTTGTTAGTTTCTTTTGTAATTCATTTGACTGAGGACCTAGTTTCCTTTGGGCCTAGTACCACCATGCATTCAAATCTATTTAGCAGATAATCTGGTGAAACTAAGAATCTCTTAGATATTATTTAGGTCAAGTTCTTTTTTTTTTTTTTTTTTTTTTTCCAGTACCGGGAATCAAACTCACGACCTTGCGTTTGCCAGGCAGGCGCTGTGCTACTGAGCTAAATGCCCAGCCCCTCTTAGATATTATTTAGATCAGGTCTTCTCTGCCTTCTTGATTATCACTCTTCTAATGAGCCTTTTTAGTGTCCTTGTCTCTCAGTTGCCTGACTATTTATCTGTGAATATATAATAACATATTGTGTATGTTTATGCAGTATGTGTATACCTGCGATTTATACACAAAATGAGTATTTTCTCACCACCCCACAGGAACCAGTTTTTGCCCCTGTGGGGGTGGTATTGCTCCTGTAGAGAATGTGTGCTCTTGATAGATCAACCTCAGTGATACAGTTACCTTGTAGGTAACTTGCTGACAAACTTAGAAACAAAGCGTTTTGAAGAATTAACATTCTAACTTTATCACTCAGTACTTGGCCCCTCTCTCCCAGCACCAAAACACATCACCCATCTTCCTCCTGCACTGTGGTACATTGCTGCCAGACTGCCACTGTGCCCACTTTGGGTCACCATGCTGCCTCCCATGTGTCTGTCCTGTGTGGTGTGGGCCTCATGGTTATGCTCAACTAGAGCGTTTGTTAGTTTGAACTTTACCTTTGCTTCTTTTTTTTGGTTTTTTTCTGGTACCTGGAATCAAACTCACAACCTTGTGCTTGCCAGGCAGGCACTGTGCCACTGAGCTAAATCCCCAGCCCCTACCTTTGCTTCTTTAATTATCATCTTTTACTCTACTTATATCAAAACACCTGGGGGTGGGGGTTATAGCTCAGCAGCACAAGCGCCTGCCTGGCAAGCATAAGGTCCTGAGTTCAGTCCTTGGTACAAAAAAAAAAAAAAACCCTGAATATTACAATGTGAAGAGATTAATTTGCCCTGATTATATCTTGTTTCTTCACAAGACACATTCTTTCTGTTGTTGTTTGTTTGTTTTTTGAGGCAAGGTCTTGCTCTGTAGTTCAGGCTGGCCTTGAACTCACTATGTAGCCCATGCTGCCCTCAAACTTGCAACGATTCTCCTACTTCAGCTTCCCAAGTGTTGCGATTACAGGTGTGCACCACCACACATGGCTCACAAGATAAAATTCTTGACCTTTCCTCTTTGCCTTGACCATCTGAGCTTTGCAGCTTGACATTTCTGTGAATCTGTTTTAAATGTTTAACCCTCAATTCTTTCCCTTAATAGGGAATACCTTGCCCTCAATGTGTATGTAGCCCTCTGTTACTACAAGTTGGATTACTATGATGTATCTCAAGAAGTTCTGGCTGTTTATCTCCAGCAAATCCCTGACAGTACCATCGCGCTTAACCTGAAGGCATGTAATCATTTTCGCCTTTATAATGGCAAAGCAGCTGAGGTAATGATGTAAACATGTTTCTAATTAACTTCATTCAATATGAATTCCTTTATACTTTCCAAGTTATTTATTAAGTTCTATTACCCACAACTCTCAAGTAATATCCCTTGGTCATTGCCACTATGATTCTATAAGAACCTAACTGCATTAATATTTTTGTCAAATATTCTAAAAGTAATTTGACTTAATTTTTTGTATTGTATCTTATATAATGTAGAAGATTTTTAACCCATTTATGCCAAAGGTTGCTATTTTTTTCTAATTTTTGCATGAAATTCATATATGTTACCTAGAAGAATTCAAGGAACAAGAATTTGAATAGAAAAATTTTTATTAAAATTGTTCTGTGCTGTTCCAAAAATGGAACACTAGGCATAAAAGGATTAACCAGATCCTCATGTTAACTTACATATGTTTAAACCCAGATGCTTCCTTTGCTCTTGTTGCCCAAAACTGCTCATGCTATTCTAGGTCTCTTCTTGTTCCATATAAATTGTAGGATTGTTTACTGTAGCTCTCTGAGGAATGTTATTGGTATTTTGATTAAGATTGTGTTAAATCTCTGTATCAGTTTTGGAAATATGGGCATTTGGACACTATTGGTTCTACCTCTCCAGGAACATAGGATATCTTTTCAGTTTCTGATTTCCTGTTTGATCTCCTTTTTTTCAGAGTACTGTAGTTTTTGTTGTAGAGCTCTTTTACTTCTTTGGTCAGGCTAACTCTTAAGTATTTAATTTTCTTGATGCTATCATGGATGGTATTATTGTCCTGATTTCCCTCTTACTGAGTTCATTACTGGTGTACCGAACACTATTGATTTTTTGTGTTGATTTTGTATCCTTCTCCATTGCTGAATTATGTTATTAATTCTGGGAGTCTTTTGGTGGAATTTTTTGGGTCTTCTATATAAAAGATCATGTTATCTGCAAATGATGATAAGTTGATTTCTTCCTTTCCTAGACATATCCCATTTAATTCTTTCTCTTGCCTTACTGCTCTGGCTAATGTTTCAAGTACTATATTGAATAGAAGTGATAGTGGGCCTTTTTCTCTTGTTCCTAATTTTAGAAGGAAAGTTTTCCACTTTTCCTCATTTAATATGGTGTTGTTAATACATTTGTCATAAAGGTCTTTTATCAAATTGAGAGAAGGACCTTCTATACCTATTGCATTCAGAGTTTTAAATCATGAATGGGTTTTGGAGTTTGTCAAAGGCTTTTTCTATATCTATTAAGATGATCGTATGATTTTTATTCTTGTTTTTGTTTATGTGTTGTATCACCCGTGTTGATTTGCACATGTTGAACAATCCTTGCATCCTTGGGATGAAGCTTACTTGGTCATGATGTTTTTGATATATGATGTTTTCATGTTTTGATGATGTATGGTGTTTTTGATGCTTCATTTCATTCTGTTTGCCAGTACTGTATACTGTTGAAGATTTTTGCATCTATGTTCATTGAAGAGATTGGTCTCTTTTTTGGTTAGGTCCTTGTCTGTTTTGGAATGAGGTAATGATAGCTTCCAGGAGTACTTTAGGAGTACTTTTTCCTTTTCAATCTCATAAAAGAACTTGAGGAATAATGGCATTTTTATAGAATTTAGTGGTGAATCTCCTGGGCTGTTGGCTTTTCTTAGTTGATATGTTTTTTGTTACTGCTTCTATTTCATTGTTTAATTATCCAGGGTTTTTATATCTCTTGGGTCAGTTTTGGTAATTCATATGTGTGTGTCTAAAACTCTGTATATTTTCTGGGTTCTCCAATTTATTGGAGTATAATTTTTTGAAATAGTTGTTAGTAATCTTCTGGATTCCAGTGGAGTCCATTTTGATTTTGCCTTTTGCCTTCTTTTTTTTTCAAATAAAAGTACTTTATCTTTTAAAATTTTATTTTACTAGTAGATATTTACAGTTCATGCCATTTGCAATTGTCTTGGGGCGTCTTTACATGTACATACTACATCTTGTTTCTTTCTTTTTTAATCCCCTGCCCCTTCCTTCCTCCTCCCTCCCTTCTCTTCTAGTTCCCCCTTCCCATTTTTCTTTTTCTTTTTCTTTTTCTTTTTTTTTTTTTTTTTTTTTTTTTTGAGACAAGCTCTTGCTAGGCAGCTGAGGCTATTCTTGAACTCACTCTGCAGCCCAGGCTGACCTCAAACTCTGGATGCTCCTCCTGCTTCAGCCTCCCAAGTGCTAGGATTACAGGCATGCACTACCACACCTGGCTCCCTATCCCATTTCTCATTCTTGTTGATATCATTAGTCTTAGCTCATGCTATGGCATGTAATGTTTACATTAATTGAGGTTATTAGGCATGGCATGTCTTTATGCTGCTTATTTCCCTTTGCCCTTCCTCCTCCACCCTCGCCCTTGTTCCCTTGGTCTACTTCCCAATTGCAAGAGACCCATCCCCTTGTCTCCTCTTTTTTTTGTGTGTATTGGGAATCAAACTCAGGACCTTGTGCTTGCCAGACAGGCTCTGTGCCGCTGAGCTATATCCCCAACCCTCCCTTGTTCCCTGCTATCCATCCTTTATTATTTCTTCATTTGTACTTTACCTCACTCAAGTTAGAGACGGCATATGATATTTAAACTTGTGTGTCTGGTTTATTTCACTCAACATTCTATTTTCCAGGTGTAACCATTTTCCTACAAATGTGTCATATTTGTCATTCTTATAACTAAGTAATGTTCCATTATATATTATATATAAGCCATATTTTCTTTATCTAGTCATCAGTTGATCAGTGTACAGGCTGCTTCCAGGATTTAGCTATTACAAGCTGTGCTGCTGTAAACACTGGTCATCATGTATCACTGTGATATGATGATTTAAACTCTTTGGGGAAGATACCTAGCACGGGGATAGCTGAGTCATTTGGAATTTCTAATTTCAGTTCTTTGAGAAATCTCCATACGGATTTCCATAATGGTTGTACCATTTTACATTCCCACCAACAATGAAGGAGGGTTCCTTTTTTGTTCTTGCCACAGCCAGGCCAGCATTTGTTGTTTGATTTCTTAATGATTGCCATTCTTTCCAGAGTAAGGTGGAATCTCCACTGTTTTAATTTGCATTTCTCTAATGGCCAGAGATGTCAAACATTTTTCCATATATTGGTTGACCATTTGTATTTCTTACTCTGTGAAGTGTCTGTTCACTTCTCTTGCCCATTTCTTGACTGGGCCTTTAATTTTAGGTGGCTTAAATTTTTTGAGTTCTTTGTATATTCTAGATATTAGTCCTCTATCTAAGGAGTAGCTGGCAAAATTTTTCCCATTCTGTAGGTTGTCTCTTCATTAATTTTTTTTTGAGGCATGGTCTCGCTATGTAGTTCGGTCCAGCCTTGAATTCACTACAACCATCCTGCCTCAGCCCTCTGACTGCTAGGATTATAGGTGTGTGCTACCACCCCCTGCTCTCTACTGATTGATTCTTTTGCTGTAGGAAGCTCTTTAGTTTGATAAAATCTCATTTGTGGATTCTTACTGATATTTCCTGTGCAATTGAGGCTCTGTTTAGAAAATCTTTTCCTACACCTGTCTTTTTTTTTCACCTATTTTATCTTCTAATAGGTTTAATGTTTCTGTTTTAATGTTTAGCTCACTGATTCATTTTGATTTTAACTTGGTATATGGTGAGAGATAAGGGTCTTGTTTCAATCTTCTGCAAACAGATAACCAGTTCACCAGCACCACTTGCTGAATAGGCTATCTTTCCTCCAGCATATGCTTTTGGGTTCTATGTCAAAGAGCAAATAGTTTAATGTGTCTGGGGAGGTTTCTATATCCTCAATTCTGTCCCATCCCATATCTGATTTTGTTCCAGTACGTCATTTTTATCACTATTGCTTTGTAGTATAGCTTGTAGTCAGGTATTGCTCTGCCTCTTGCTTTGCTCTTGTTGCCCAAAATTTCTTTTGTTATTCTGGGTCTCTTCTTGTTCCATATGAATTTTAGGATTGTTTTCTTTAGATCTGAAAAGTACACTGTTGGTGTTTTGAGTGGGATTGCATTGAATGTATACAACAGTTTGGGGAGTATGGCCATTTTGACAATATTGGTTCTGCCTTCCTAGGAGCAGGGGATAGCTTTTCATTTTCTCATGTCCTCTTCAATCCCCTTCTTCAGAGTACTGTAGTTTTCTCTGTAGAGGTCACTCATTCCCTTGGTTAGGTTAATTCCTAGGCATTTCATTTTTCTTGAAGCTACTGTTAATGGTGTTGTTTTCATAATTTCCTTCTCATCCAGTTCATTATTGGTATATGCATGTGGTAATGATTTTTATGTGTTGATCTTGTATACTGCTACATTGCTGAATCTGGTATTAATTCTAAGAGTTTTCTTTTGGTGTTCTATGTAAGTATCACGTCATCTGCAAATAATAATTTGAGTTCTTCCTTTCCTATATGTATCCCTTTTATTTCTTTCTCTTACCTAATTGTTCTTGCTAATATTTCAAGTACCATGTTGAATAGAAGAGGTGATAGTTTACATCCTTATCTTGCTCCTAATTTTAGGGGGTATTCCTTTAATTTTTCCCAATTTAGTATGATGCTGGCTATTGGTTTGTCATAAATAGCCTTTATCAGTGAGGTGTGGTGTCATGCCTGCAATTCCTGCATTTGGGAGGCTGAGGCTAGAGAATCACTGTGAGTTGGAGGCCAGCCTGGACTATATAGTGAGTTCAAAGCCAGCCTGAACTACATAGCGAGACCCTATCTCCAAAATAAATAAATAAATAAATAAACAAACAAACAAATAAATAATCCAGCAGTAAATCCATCAGGTCCTGCACATTTTTTAGCCTTTATTACTGTGACAATTTCATTGCTAGTTATTGGGCTGTTAAGCATATTTATATTTTCTTGGGTTAGTGTCAGTAGTTTATACGTGTCTGTTTCTTTAAAATTTGCTAATTTGTTGGAATATAATTTCTCAAAGTAATTACTGTCTTCTGGATTTTTGATAGTGTCTGTTGTGGTTTTACCTTTTTCATTTCTAATTGCATTGATGTGGGTCTTTCCTCTCCTTCTCTAGGTGAGGGTGGTTAAGGGCTTATCTATTTTATTGATTCTAGTATGTGATCTGTTTTTTAAAAAGTACCATGTGCTGCTGAAAAGAATGTATACTCTGTTGTAGTGGGGTGGAACAGTCTGTATATAGCCTTTAAGTCCATGTGTTCAAGGTTGTGGTTCAGCTCTGAATTTCTTTACTGTTTAGTTGATCTATCTCTTTGCAAAAGTGGAGTGTTAAAATCCCCTATTATGACTGTGTTAGTTTTTATTTGATCTTCTAGTTTCAGCAGTTTTTGTTTTATAAAGATAGAAGCTCCAGTATTTGGTACATATATGTTTATCAATTTTATGTTTTCTTGTTGGATTGTTCCCTTAACTAGTATGTAGTGACCTTCTTTGTCTCTTCTAATCAGTTTTAGCTTGAAGTTTACCATGTCTGATATTAGAACTGCTGCCCTGCTTGTTTTCAGGGTCCTGATGCATGAAATGTTAGCCTCCATCCTTTCATTTTTACTCTGTGAATACATTTTTGAGTTAGATGAATTTCTTGAAAGCCACAGATTGTTGGATTTTGTTTTTTGATCCAGTCTGCCAATCTGTATCTTTCAACTGGAGAGCTGAGGTGGTTAATTTGAGAGATACTACTGAGATGTGTTGGGTTTTACTATCACTTTACTCTTTACCTGTTGGTAAATCCTTTGTTTTTCTTTTCCTGATGTTTTTGGTTGCTATTTATTCATTGACCTTACTAATTTCTTCTGTGTTTTTAGCTGTGTCCATTTCAATATTTCTGTTGAGAATATTCTTAAATATTTTCTTAACCATTGGTTTAGTATTTATTCATATATCTTTTGAGCTTTTTCATATAAATACCTTATTTCTCCATCTATCTTGAAAGATAGCTTTGCTGGATATTTTAATCTGTGTTAGAAGTTATTTCCTCTTAGTGCTTGAAATACTTCACTCTCAGCTCTTGTGGCCTTTAGGGTTTGTATTGAGAAGTCTGTTGTGATTCTGATTGGTTTACCTTCATATGTGATTTTTTTTTTTGTCTTTCTTTGGCCCCTTTTAAGATTATGTTTTTTTGCTGGATATCTGGTAATTTAATAGGGATATTCCTTGGTGAACTTCTTTTTATCATAATTGGTGTTCTATAAGCATTACTTGTATCTTAAACTCTTGTCATATTTGGGAACTTTTCTTCTATAGTTTCTGTAAACATGTTATTAAATCTACCTGTGCTATCTTCTAGTTTTTCTGTAACTCACTTAGCCTTAGATTGGTCTTCTTGTTATCATCTGGTAACTGCCAGGTAGTCTATTTTATTATTCTTTCGAAGAATGAACTCATTTCATTGATACTCTGTGTTTTTAGTCTCAACTTCATCAATTTCTGCTGTGATCTTTATAATTTCCCTCCTTATACTAGCTTTAGATTTGTATTGTTCCTGTTTTTCTAGGACCTTGAGATGCATCATTAGGTTATTTATTTGGGCTTACTCTGTTTTACTGATTTGAATATTCACAACTACAAACTTTCTTCTTTCTTCACAACTTTCCGTTGTGGCCCCTTGATTATTCGAGAGTATATTGTTAATTTTCATGTATTTGCACAATTTCAGTGGCATGTCACTTTTTTCTAGTTTTATTACACTATGATCAGATCATATCCGTGGGATAATTTCAATTCTTTTATATTTACTTATGCCTGCTTTATAGGATAGTATGTAATCGATTTTGGAGAAGGTTTTATGTGCTGCTAAGAAAATGTGTATTCTGTTGTTGGGTAGAATACCCTGTAGATAATACTAAGTCCATTTGTTTGAAGGTTTGGTTAAACTCTGATACTTCTTTGGTAATTTTTTTTCTAGCTGATTTATTTGTGATATGGGGTATTGAGGTCCCCCACTTAACTGTGTTGATGTTTATCTGCTTTCTTATGTCTAGTCGTGTTTGTTTTATAAAGTTGGGTTTGCTGGTGTCTTGGCGCATATAATTTATAATTGTTATCTCTTTCTGTAGTATTGTTACCTTAACCAATACACAGTGACCTTTTTGCCTCTTCTGATCAGTTTTAGCTTGAAACCAGCCCATTTTGTCTGAAAGTAGGATAGCTGGATAGCCATTCTTGCTTGTTTTCACACTCCCTCATTTTCGGGTGTTTGTTCGTTTTGTTTTGTTTTGTTTTGTTTTGTTTCTTTGTTGCTAACAGGGTTTCCCCATGTAGTTCAGGCTGGCCTTAAACTCACTGTGCAGCCCAGGCTAACCTTGAGCTTGCAGCAATCCTCTTGCCTCAACCTCCTGAGTGCTGGGATTACAGGGGTGCATCACTACTTCTGGCCTCCCTCATTTTCTAAATAGTGTTTTTTGAAGAACAAAAGTTTTAACTGATGAAGTCAAATTTATTTTTTTTTCTTGTTACTTATGCTTTTAGTATCATATCTAAGAATGCATTGTGAAATCCAAGTTATGATTTATTCTCATTTTCTCTATAAGAGTTTTATAATTTTAGCTATGAGATTTAGATCTTTGATAGATTTTTAAATTAATATTTTTATATGGTATGAGGTAAAAGCCCAACTTCATTCATTTTGTGTGAAAATGCATTGTCCCAGCCAAACACAGTCAAATCTAAGCCTTAGGGATCAGATGTTCCATGGTTCGTGGGGCTGGGGGTAAATGCAGCGCTCACCTGTAATGGTAAATTCAGCCTCCCTGTGTGCATGAGGACAAGTGTTTATTGCTGTTAAGCAGATACATATGCTTTCTGATGTAATTATTAAACTTGAACTTATTTTATTTTGTAAAATGATTTAATAAGCTAAAATAGTTTTTTAGCAGCTGCTGTAAAGTACAAAAACATATCATAGTTTTACTTATGATATTGTTACTACTACATACACAAGATTGCTAATGCTAGAAAAATAAATGGTTGCTTATTCATTAGTTTTTTAGAATGTATAGAATTGTAATCAGACATGAACCCAAAGAAAAATTGAATCAAGCCTCTTTACTAGACTTTTATAAGACCTGTCTTCCCAGAGAAAAATATCCTTTGCTTCACACTCACACCTTAGTCCTGTGATTGATTTTTTGGCAGAATGTACATTTGTGAGCAAGTGTTTTTGTGCATGAACCACACAAAGAGTAAAATTGGATAAAAAATTGAGCTTCTTGAGAACTCACTAAATTGCAGCCACTGGGCTGGGGATATAGCTCAGGAGCACAGTGCTTGCTTGCAAGCGTGAGATTGTGAGTTTGATTCCTGGTACCAAAAAATAAAAAATGAATAAATTGCAGCCACTCCCATTGAACCGGGTATTGATGCATTAATTTCACAAAAACAATATCAATATCCCACTAGTGTGTGTTACCTTCTTTTTAATGTTATAATAAAAATATTTTAAAATAAAGGAAGTTTTTTTGCTTATATACATTAATTATATATTTTGTGAGGGAACCAGGAGAGTTCCTCTTCACTCAGTGGGACCCACATAAGCCGGAAGCCATGGTCTTGTTCCTTTATCACCTTTTCACTGAAAGACTAAATCCAGGGGTCTTCAGACTTGACTGCAGTCATTTTCAAACTTACTGCTTAATGTCCTATAAAGCCCAAGATGCTTAGTTTTGGTGGCACCTGGCTATCCTCCTAGCACTTGGGAGGCTGAAGCAGGAGGATCACTGTGAGTTCATGGCCAGCTTGGGCTACATAGTGAGTTGAAGACCAGACTGAACTATATAATGAGACCCTGCCTCAAGATGCTTAGCTTCAAAAGTCTTATTGTCTATCTGTGAAGTCAGGAGGATCAAATGAAACAGCACATTAAATTCTTTGTAAGCTATAAATCACTATATACGTGTTCGTTATAAGAACTATATAGCTGTGATTTTCATAAGTCTCCCTTCTTTACATTTCAGGCAGAACTCAAAAGCTTGATGGACAGCGCTCCTTCCTCCTTTGAATTTGCTGAGGAACTCATCAGGCACAATCTGGTGACTACCAGTTTCCCATCTTGCCTCACTTCCCTCCCTCCCCACTGTGGTACACAGCGCCATGATGGGAAAGACGAGTAGGAAACGCCCCCGCAGATATTTCCCGTTCCAAGGGAACCCTCCTTACAGTGGAAGAGAGAAAATGGGTTTCGTGCATTGCTCCCTTTCCTTAGGAAAGTCCTTATTGGGGAGAGTGGATATCACGTGTGGGAGAAGCGCAGTGTACCGCGAGTGTGTGGGTCCTTAGCGAAGACAAAGGGACTTATCCCGGGAGTTAGATACCTGGGGGGAGCCTCGGGCCTTTGAAAGATGGGCAAGATTTAGAGAACTCGGATGGAGTCTGACTCTGAGCTCGGAATGCGGCGAGGCGGAGAGAAGCTGCTTCTCGCTCAGGCGCCCAGGAGCCTCGGCGCCCTCAGCACTGCCGACTCAGCCTCGCCATCTAGCATGGAGACGGGGGACTGTACCTTTTTCTTCCAGTTTTTACAGCACCGCGCCTGCCAGGAAAGAAAGTGAAAACTGACTGTCATAGACCCCCCCTCCCCGCCTCCTCTGTGGTATCTCAGTATCTTCGCAGTCCTGAATTCCAGGAGCTCTTCCTTGGCCCCGTCTCGTGTTGATCCCTTTCCTTCCCCGTGTCAGCCTCCACCGGATGGAGTTCTGCCTGGGTAGCTTCTGTGACGGGCTGCGGCCGCCAACCTTTCGATTTTTAACCTGGCTTCTACATGGAGGCTGGATGGTTTTATGGAGAATGACGTGTTAGGACTGAAGCTGGGCTAGAGATAGGCCTGAGCATAGGTTGGGGAGTCATCCTAAGAGTCCTAGCAATTAAATACGGGAGATTGAAACTACTGAATTTCTAGTGAACATTAAAGAAAGAATTAAAACAGAGAAAAATATGATTCCCAAAAAAGCACCTGTGTTCAAGTGGCTGGAGGAGGGAAAATAAGCAGAGGAGACAAGGAAGGGCAGGCTAGAGGAGGCACCTAGCCGATGGGATGTTATTTATAGCTTTTAATTTACATTTTAATCACCTGCGAGGCTTTTGAAACTAATGACGGGCTCCACCCCCATGGAGTCCTAGGTATATGTATATGTATTTTAATGGGGGGAGCAGCAGGGTCTTCCTGTGTCTCCCAGGCTGTCCTTGAACTTCTGGGCTCAGGTGACCCTCCTTCCTCAGCCTCCTATGGAGCTGGGACTTCTTCCAGGGATTCTTATTTCATACTTGAGCTGGGACCCACTGATCACTATTTTCCTTAAAAGCTTTGTAGCTAGATGCAACATACAGCTCAAGGTAAAGAAACACTGTGTGGCTGGGCATGGTGGCACACGCCTGTAGTCCCAGCACTCAGGAGGCTGTGGCAGGAGGATCTTTGTGAGTTTGAGACCAGCCTGGGCTACAAAGTGAGCTCAAGGCCAGTCTGAACTGCATAGCAAGACCCTGTCTCAAAAAGACAAAAAAAAA